TGAGAGCCTGTCGTTACAAGAAAATGCTATATAGTGTGTTTTGTTGTAATTAATTGTCAAAGTTCTTTCCGAAGAAATTTATAAATGTTTGTTGTTCGATTGTGGTATTTAGTGTATGCCACTGGTTGCTTTCATAGAGAATAGCTGTGTCATCCGCAAAACCGATAACTTTACCTGTACTACTTATTTTGAACAAATCGTTGATAAATAGATTAAATAAAATGGGTCCTAATACTGAGCCTTGAGGTACACTGTATGATATAATATAGGGTTCACTGAATGTGTTATTAGTTTTTAAGGAATGTGTTCGATTTGACAAATAATTTTCTATAAGTTTGTATGTTATTCCCCGGAAATCTAAGTTTTCTAAAGTTGTTAAAAGCGATTCATGAGTAATAGAGCCGAATGCTTTTGCCAAGTCAACAAAAACACAAGCAGTTGGTTTGCCAATATCGAGATTCGTGTATATTTTACTTGTTAATTTTACAATAGCATCTTGAGCAGATTTGCGTTCTTGAAAACCATATTGCTGTTCCGTTATTAAGTTATATTTTTTTTTAACACTTTTTCAAATATTTTAGAAAAATTTGTTAAGATGGAAATTGGTCGATAGTTGATGGGTTTTTCTCTTTCTCCAGATTTAAATAATGGTTTACCATAGCGTGTTTTAAACATGAAGGGAATATTCCTTTATTCATACAAAAATTTATCAAATATGACAGTATGCCGCAGATGTTGCAATTTATTCTCTTGAGTATACGCTGTTATATTATCTAGACCTGGAGATTTTCTTAATTTCAATTCATTGCTTATTGTCTTTATTTCATGCGTCTGAGTTGGGATGGGATGGGCAAGATTTCTTGTAAATCCATCTCGGAATCTGAAGAATTTGTTTGCACTGGATCGTAAGGAAATGTCGAGGGAGTTGAGGGAGCGACATACAGGGTGGCGCATCGAAAACGAAACAGACGCATTTACTGGCAGCTCAGTTTTTTTTTGGAAAAACTCTCAGACCCGTCGATTTTGTTTTTGAGGGGGACACAAGTTTGGCAAAAAATCACGTTAACACGTGCAGCCCTCTGGGCGGGGGTAACACCAATACTAAAGTCTTAAATGGAAAGGAGGTCGAGTGATACCTTATTTTAAAGGTCTTTCAATACCCTTTATAACGATGTGAAATACATGAGCTTCAGTTCAGTAGTTTTGAAGATTTATTGATTTAAAGCTTAAGGTAGACTTTAAGAGGTACATCAGATCAGTTTGTACTACCTTCAGAAGAAATTTGACTAAAAGAATTTACTTAATAAGTTTAACATTTTGGTGTTGAAAATAGCTATTGGAGCGTTTTTTTTTTTGGTGGAAAAAAGTTATTTCTTGAAGAAATATAAGGAAATATCTCGTACTTATTTTAAATAGGAATTTAATACATAGTTTGCGATTGATTTGACCAAACTTTGTTGCTAAAATAACATGTAACGCTTTATTACATAAATTAACCATGGTATATTCCACAGTAGAAAGAGTTGAAATTATCGAAATATTTTTCGGAAGTAATCAGTGCGCTGATAGAACAGCAGAAATATTTAACCCTGCGTCAGTCGCGCCATCTAAAATTATATGAGCGGTCGCATCGCGGCACTGAGTGCCGCATCTGGACAATGACTTATTTTGTATTATTATAGAGAAAACATTGACTAATAAGTTTGTAATTAAACAGAATAGACATTTAAAAAATCAGTTTATTTATAATATTGCGCTCTTATTTATTTAAACATTCAAAACTAAAACATTATTCTATAGCGAACATAAAAGATAAACACTGAATTTTTAAAGTGAAAATCGTAACACCAAGAGACTTAACTCTAAAATAAATCAGTCTTCCTCCATCGGGGTATACAAACAACTATCACATTGAACTGTTTTTTTGCAATGGCTTTTACATACAAACTGATAACATGAGTCACATCTAACAGTAGTTTTATTATTTTTATGCGCACTACAAACATGACAACGTCCACTACCATTTTGCTTTATTGCAGGTACCTCATCAACAGTAGTTTGGTATCGCGAAAGAAATTCGCTAATGTCTTTTGGAAGTGTAATTATTTTCGCTCGTTCCGCCATATGATGTTCCATTAGAGACACGCCTAATTCGTTTGAGAATTTTCGTCTTCTAGGAGACTCTTCTGTAGGTTTAGTATTATTGAATCCAATTTCAGCGTTTATCCCAGTAATATCAAGAATGCGGAAAATATTGCAAGGGGCCATCGTCTAGTGGTTCTCTGGGTTGTATAAGAGGCACATTTTTTATCGACAGTATCGACACCACTCTTCGTCCTGTTATAATCCAAAATGATGGTTGGCTTATTTGTTGCCTCGTCAACCTCTCTTTGTCATCAACAGAAGAAAGAATTATCACAGCCTTATTCTTTTTGGGTACGTAAGATACCAAATTAATTTCGTCCTGAAATCCGAATAATGAAGAACCAACTATTCGTGCTTTATTCGGAAGGAATTCCGGGGGTATTTCCTTTTTATTTTTCTTTATTGTACCTATTAACGTAAGGCCATTTTGCAAAAGATAATCTGCTAGGGGATAGCTCGTATAATAATTATCGGTTGTCAGGTTTCTCTTCTCTTTTTAAAGGGTCTACCAACCTTCGAACTATACTAAGTGACATATAAATCCGAACACCCAGTTTAAATGGTTTTATTTTAATAAAATTACTTAATGAAGCATAATAAGTAAATGATTAAAATTTCAAAATGATTGCACTGCTTTAAAGCCCTTTGACGTTTAATAATGTGTGGATGCACCCTCATCTGCTACGCATTCTCCAACGCGCCTAGGCATGCTTCTGATCAGGTGGTCAATGTCCTCCTGTGGTATCTCATTCCAGGCAACCACCAACTCCTCTCGAAATGCTTCTAGAGTCTGAGGAGGACGCTGCAAATTGAGCAATCTCTTACCCATCATATCCCACACGTGCTCAATTGGGGATAAGTCGGGAGATCTTGGTGGCCATGGTAACAATTTGACATCATTATGTTGAAAAAGTCTTTTTTTTTTTTTTTTATACTCCAACTTCCACGAAGGCCTAAGGCCTAAGCACCCATCGGGTACCGTGGGGCTATGGGGGATACATGGGAAAGGGGGGACGCCACACGGACTCTCGCGAGGGAACACGTGTGCATGCAACATGCACACATTCTGGCTCCGCCTACGAGAACCGCCGGGTGGTACCTCCGCGTTCGACAGTCAGAGACCATCTACCACCTACGGACAATCACAACATCCATGGCCAAGAGAAACATTTCTCCTGGGACGGGACTCGAACCCGCACAGCGCACGGCGGCTGATCAGGAGACCGAAGAGTCTACTACTGCGGCCACCGCTGCTGCCTAAAACAAACACACAACATCCATGGCGAAGGCGAGATTCGAACTCGCGGCCCGGCCGGCCGGCTGATCAGTAGCACGACACTCTGACCTACGCGGCCAACCGAGGTCCGAGGTCCTATTGTGACTCTTGCAACATGTGGTGGGGCATTATCTTGTTGGAAAGTTGGATCTGCCAGGGTGTCAAGATAGGGTAAAAGATGGGGTTCTAGAACTTCGTGGATATAACGCTGCGCGTTCATGTTACCTCTGATGAAGATTAAAGGTGACCTGGAACCATAAGCTATAGCACCCCAAACCATAACTCCAACAGTCTGATGAACATGTCTTTCATCAAAAAACTGTGGATTCCTCCTTTCACCACGTCGCCTTCTAACCCTGGCACGACCATCGTGCATGCCTAAACAAAATCGAGACTTGTCACTAAAGACAATACTGTTCCATTCCTGATCCCAGAGTGACCGTTGTCTGCACCACTCAAGGCGATTACGTCGGTGTTCTCAAGTTAAAGGGAGGACCCAGTGTGGCCGGTATGAAAACAAGCCAAAACTTCTCATTCGTCGGTAAACACTTCGCATGCCAATAGGTCTTCCGTGTTCTGCAAACCATTCATTTGCAGTGGACCTGGTAGTGGAGAAACGGTCCCTTAAGGCCAATAATCTTAGGCGGCGATCTTCACGGTCTGTTGTTCTACGACGGCATCCAGTGCCCCTTGCTCTTTGCGTACGGCCTTCTCGAAGCCATGCCTGACAACACCTAACCACAGTGTCTACACTTCTTTGCACTCTAACTGCAATTGCCCGAAAAGAAAGTCCAGCTTCCCGAAGTCCCACTATACGGCCCCTATCAAACTCACTAAGTTGACGAAATCGTACAGGTCTCCGTACTCTAGGCATCGTAACCGATCGTAAAGGATGTCAAGAACCAAAATCCGCCAACGTTGATTCTTTACTGCGGCTGAAATATTCATTTTTAGAGCGTTAGTGAATTAAAAAAAAGCAGTATAAAAACCGGAATGTCCAACTGATAAGGCTGAAAATTTTTTCACTTGTTATTTACAGTAAGATAAATACATTCACCAACTTTCATTAAAATAAAACCATTTAAACTGGGTGATCGGATTTATATGTCACTTAGTATATATCGAATGGCTTACTACTTGTCTGAAAGGGACCATCTCGTTGTTGCCCACAATAAATCTCAAGATTCCAAGTATAATAGATGCGACTATCACACAAAGCATATATTTTTATACCGTATTTTGCCGGCTTTTGCGGCATTTATTGCACGAACCCACATCGCCCCCGAAACGGATGAAGCATTTCATCAATGGTAATGAATTCCCCAGGGATGTAATTATTCATACAATTCTTTACAAAATCGGAGTAAATATCCCGTATTGCAGCTAATTTATCTATATTTTGGCGTTATTTCCTGGTGTTGATATTGTCAAATCGTAAAGCACGTAAAAGGAATAAAAATCTTCTGTAACTAAAAGCAGCCCGAAGTCTAATAATATATATATATATAATAATTCCAGTTTCATCTGTACTCCACAGTTCTCGCACATCTACACGATTTCCTTTCTTTACTGCAATTATTTATAACGCGCCGAATAATGCCTGGATCTCCGTGGACGAAGTTATGTTGCAATCTCTATCTCTTGCAATATTTTGTTTTTTATTTTCTATATATAAATTTGTGCATGTTATGATATTGTCAATCATCTCATTGGAAATAAATATATAAATAGACTCTAAATGATTTGACACAGTTTTCGCAGCTACTTTTGAACCTGGTAATATCTTGATTATATTTTTAGACCTAGTTTTACTGGTAAAACTCACAGGAGTGCTTTTCCAAACATTCTCTTCGTCCTTTCCAATGTACATATAAAAGAACTCATCTGCTTGATTCTCCAATTCGTGTGTATAGTCCGAGTCCTCAACGGCAGGTTGCTCAGATTTACTGTCGTAAACATTTTACTGAATAACTTCTTCTTCTAGTTCGCTTTCATCTGCAAAGTCTACTATATTCTCATCGAAATCAGAGAAATTGTCGACGATCTCTTGCAGCTCTCGTTCAGTGAGTGGTCTCCTTTTATCCCTAAAATATCAAAGATTATACATTATTCCACAATCCCAGGTTGATAAAACACACCAATTCGGAAAAAAATAACAGTAATAATGAGCTATAATGGTTTTGTAATATATTTTAGCGATATCTATATCAAACTAATAACCAAACATAATAATTACATGATCGGCCGCGTGGCGGCACGGAGTACCGCAAACTGCGCCTTCTCACTAAAAGTCTCGATTTACACTAAAAGGAAGCATTTCCATCTCCGTTCCCGTAGGAACACGTTGCAAAATATAGCCAACGAAGCATACCTCGCGAGACAGTGGCGTGCTTCGAAAAATTATTCAGTAACTAGAATAAATTAAAAAAACGCGGCACGGAGTACCGCAGCGCGACCGCCGAAGGGTCTTAATGAGCGACATGAGAACAGTAATGTGCATCAAAAATATGCTCTAGAACTTGTAGATAAATTTCGGGAAACTGGGTCAGTCGCCAATTAAAGCCGCAACATTGAAAATCCCATAAGGAACGAAGCAATAGAAGTGGGGGTTAGTCGACGTACTGTCCAACGGATTCTAAAGGCCCATAGTTTTCATCCTTATAAAATTCACCTGGTACAAGAACTTAGATATTTATCGGCGATTACAATTTTGTGAAGATATTAGTGAACGAATTATAAACGATGAACATTTTCTATCCAACACTTGCTTTTCCAACGAATGTTCCTTTCTCTTAAATGGCGTAGCAAATCGTCATAACTGCCGATTTTGGTCCGATTCTAATCCCAGAATTTATCACGAGGTTCATACACAGCAGCCAAAGAAAGTTAAATGTTTGCGCTGGTACTTTTGGCGACCATTTAGTTGGTCCTTTTTTCTTACCTGGAAATTTGACCTGTGAAATATATTTGGAATTACTCGAAGATGCCATAGATCCTGCATTAACAGCCATAATTGAAAATCAGAATGATCGGCGGTACATTGCGAATAGGTTGATGTTCCAACAGGACGGTGCCCCGCCACATTACGCATTACGTGTTCGACAATATTTAGATCAGACGCTTCCAGATCGATGGATTGGTAGAAGAGGTGCCATTGAATGGCCCCCAAGATCGCCAGATTTATCACCTTTGGATTTCTTTATGTGCGGTTACTTTAAAAGCAAAATCTATGCTACTCGGCCAACAGCTGCCGGTAAATGCGTCTGTTTCGTTTTCGATGCGCTACCCTGTATGTAGCTCGCCGCTTTTGTTCTTTGGTGTTCGTAGGACGCGCCTTTTCTTCTGTTATGGCTAATCTCTTGTCCACCCCAGATGAATGACCATGGTCGACCTGACTATTTCTGCCGCTGCAAGAAGATCTATTTCTATTGCAGAGCATACGCATTCGCAATATCCAACGATTGTCCAAGTTCGTAGCTAACACTTTTTTTCAAATCTCTCCAAACTGGGTTTAAGGTAAGTAATTTCTTAACACATTTATGTAGAGATTTAGTCGGTATACGTGTCTTTTCCAGTAAATAATGCACTCACCGTCAGTTATCCTGGCGCTCTTATGGACACGTAATTTCACTTCCCAGATATTATAGAACAAAACTGCTAGTACTTGTCCACTAGAGGGAAGTTTTGAACCGGTAATTTTGATGCTTTATGCTATCAAAAATATTTCCTTCTTAGAACTGCATAATTCCTTTGTTGGTGCAGAATGAAAACAGTGCATTTACTAGTATAACAAAAGAGTACTACAATACGTTAGCTAGCGCGAGCCTAATATGCAAGTTTTTACATGTTCCAACGCGACTCGGCACAGGTTGCCTGGTTATAGCTGAATAAAACTTTATTAACAATTGGTTTAACATTGTTCAAGCAAAATTTGAGGGTATGCGTTTGAAAAAAAAGAACTTTCACTCTTTTGGGACACCCTATATTCCACGACACCCATTCTCGTTTTTCGAAAGGTGTTTCAAACTCGTCTCTTTCCCGACACGATTTGTCACAAATTATTTTCTAGAGAACAAATATTCTTCTTATGACTTTTGTACAAATACACACATCCAAGGTTTTCGGTCAATTGTCGCATGCTATACTCTCACACACAAGCTACACTCTATTTTCCAAGAAAGCTTTACAGGTTGTTAGCAGAACTTCCCATTGTAAAATATCCGTTGCACTAGATGGGCGTTCATGCTGCTTTCAAAAGGAATGCGCTCCGCTAACTACAATGACCGAATCACATTTGATCCTTCTATAACGATACTACCCATCACGCAATGCAGACATTCTGTTTGTAAATATGTTGAACAAAAGAAGTCAGGTTGTTATACCCATCCGGCAAAAAAAAGGAGCTTAAGTAGTATGAGTACGGTAAAGTTGGTATAGTCAACGCCAAACAAAGTGGCGTGCACGTCATCACGATAAAAATTCCCCGACCTAATGCCTAGGTTTCTATCACAAACAATTGCTCTATTGCAGTTTCATATTAATGTGATATATAAATTGTAAAATGGTCATTACTCTCTTATTATGGTTAATAGTCATATAAACATTGTTATTAAAATATCACATAAGTTGCTTTCTGATAAATTTAGACGCATTATTCGAAATAAAATGTTTTGCAAACGCTCCAATCACTTATCGACATGTAAACGCACTAAACCGATTTCGCAGCGTTGACACATTGTCACCTTGAAACTTATTTAAACTGGGAACTGACATTTGTATTAATTTTGACACTGAATCAATTTGTGGCATTTCAAATCTTTATAAATCCTTTGGCCCCGCATACTGTAAATCAACAACTGTTTGTTTCAAAACAAAATTATTCATTTTACGAGTAGATAAAGGCAATTTTGGTATATAAAGATGCCCAAACAGTTAAATAGTCGGTGTAAGGAACTCGTGGCCTCGTTAATGCACTACTTTGAGCAAGAAAGGGACAACAACGGGCCTTTGTTGCCTTTAAATGCTGTTCAAGAGGTAGGTTACTAATAATTATATGTAATGTATATTAATAATAGTGAAATTTTATTTCATTTTTTGTAGCGTGTTGCTGCTGCTTTAAAAATTAGTTTAAGGACAGTTAGTCGTATTTCCGAGGGTGTGAAAAGTGATGCAAATTTAGAATCGCCCAAGAAAAAGCGGAGTTATATTAAACGTGTAACCAACACAGCGACATTGGATACAAGTGCCATTCGAGAAGTGATCTATAATATGTATCACAAAAGTAAGATCTTATTATAATAACTTATCAGAAATTTGCATTAATTTGTTAACTAAATTATAATGTCATATTACACATGGTTTCAGAAGAACAAGTTACGATACAAACTTTATGGTCTCGATTAAGAGATAGGGCATTATTTGATGGTAGTGCCACGTCTTTAAGGCGGTTGCTTAGAGATCTTGGATTTAAGTGGGTTAAGGACAATCCGCGACGAGGGCTCATGGAACTACCAAGTATACCTTTGAAAAGGGTGGAATTTCTAAGGCAATACAATCAAGCCAAGGTTGAGGCCTTATACCAGTTTGTCTTCCTCGGTGAAACTTGGATATTTCAAAATGGGACCATAGGCAAAATGGAAACCAAAAAAGCGTGAAAGCTATTAAAACAGATGGTAAAAGGTATGTACTTTTACACAATTTGCACTATAAAATTTAAAACTAATATATTTTAGATACATTATATTACATGCTGGAAATGAAAATGGGTTTATTGAGGGTAGTGAAGCGATATTTTCTTCGAAAACAAAATTGAGCGATTACCATGGAGAAATGAACCAGGACAATTTTTTGAAATGGTTTCAACATCAGTTATTAGAAAAATTGGAGAGTCCATCTATGATTATACTGGATAACGCCCCTTATCACAGCATGATATTGAACAAGGTGCCCAACAATGCATGGACAAAAAAAAATATCCAAGACTGGTTGACAAATCAAAACATACCATTTTTAAACACAATGTTTAAAACAGAGCTATTGAGTATTGTTGCTCGGTACATAATGCTTCTTAATTATATATATTTTGGTCGACAGTTTATATTTCTTTTGTTTATTCCTATTCTTAAAATAACTGCTTTTTTAGAAACAAACCACCTAAAATATACGTGATTGATGAATTGGCGGAACAACATGGGCACAAAGTTCTTCGTCTGCCTGCTTACCATTGTATATTTAACCCTATTGAGTTAATTTGGGGCATAGCAAAAGGTTACTATAACAGACATATTGGTAGAGATGGTAACAGTGAAAAAGACTGTTTGGATATGTGGAACGAGGCTCTACAAACGGTTACCCCAGACATGTGGAAAAATAGTGTTCGACATACTGAGCAAGAAATTTTTAAATGGTATGAAAGAGAACGAATTTTTGATCGACCAGACATCGAACCTTTAATAATCAACTTTGAGAGTGATGAAGATTCAGATTCAGACAGCGCTGAAGAAAGAAACTCCGACTAACTTTATTGTACAGAAAAAGCTTACACCAGTAGCTTACCTAATTTTAGAATGCATTTTTCTGTATGAATTCTGTAAAATAAATACCATGCATAAAATTTGGAGGACCCCATTTGGATTTTTATTCAGTACCTTTAAGCTATCAATTAAATATGGTAGTTTCATAGTGTCATCTGATCAATAATTGTCATACTTAATGATTATGCAAGTACAGATCTATAATTTTATTATACTATTATTTTTGTTCTCATTTGAGGTTAATATTGCTTATAAACCTAGATATGTAAATAATAAATTTTATTATTTTACAAAAAGTTTGGCAACAATGTAAATTTTTCAACACACCCACCTTGATGACGTGCACGCCACTTTGTTTGGCGTTGACTTTATGCTATAAATATAATATCTTCTAGTAAATTATACTCAGTGACATTAGAAGTGTTACACCCAGAAGAAAATAATTTCTACATCTTTTGAGTTTGGCGACATAATAACTATATTTAAAGCATTTGGTGCAACAATCTCAATGTCTTATCTTTGTTTTTGTTTACCTTAATTGAAATGTTCTCTCAATTTTTATGAAGATAGCCGTTTTTGAGAGCTAAGTAGTACTGATATTTTTAGTTATTTCAAGCATAACAAAATGACTGGAGTTCGAAGACGTCCAAATTATCAACATGTTATCGACTTTGACAGGGGTAGAATTATGGTCTATCGCGATGTTGGTTTGTTCTACAGCAAAATTGGCCGCATGTTAATTGTACTGCAATGACGGTAATGCAAGTGTGTCGTGTGCGGACAGAAGCAGGTAGAGGATCTCGAAGAAGGCCAATTAGTGCGAAGAGGCATAGAGTTCAAACAGCTTAAGGTTATGCCCGCTACGTCATCACTTTATACCCTCTCCCTTGCGTCGATTGTACCCTATAAGAATATAGGAAATTGTTGTGACAGTCTCTGGTAAGATTTATGGACATCTGTTACCGCCCTCTTAATGTGGTCCAGTTCTAATCGTGGCGAATATTTATATCGTAGAAAGCTTAAAAATGTATGTGGTCTTCAATGTCCAGAAATGATGTTGCTGTTGACGCTGTTAAGGGACATCCCACTCTCAGTAAGCCATAGGCGGAACGTTTTTTAGTATGTAGATACGCAAGTTTCAGTCAGTTGAGATTGTTGACAGAATTGCGATCTGATGAGACGTTTGTTCGATTTATTTATTTTTTTATTTATTAACCATATCATATTTTATATTTGATTGTGTTGAAAATTATTAATCTTATGGGGTTTGTGGATATTTGATGGAGATCCATAAATCAAAATATAAAATAGTGAGCAGGTACCTACATATAATAGACACAATATTGAAGGGTAAAACCGGAAAGTTGGCAAACAACTGAAAGTAATTAAATTAATCCTAAGACTGTGATCCGCTTATATCTATACCAATCATGAGATTTCCTAGAGTGCATCATTAGTACTTAGATAAATAGGCTAATACCAATATCAAACGTAGGTAAACAAAATTAGTAGAAACAAATCTAATAATAACAAGTGTAAAATTGAACTACCTGGAATAATTCCCGGTTGCTAAATCCCTTCGTTCGTAAGTAGCGTTAAGACGATGAGTGTTAATTAATCACATTTATTTTACCTGCAACAGATATATAAACCTGTCCGTTAGTCATAAGTTCAGTTTGTAAACTAATTTGAACAAGGCACCGTGTGTAAAAATTGTCAAATAGATTGCAATATAGTGGAAATTTTTACTATTGTTCAAATTTAAATTATTAATAGTTTTGAACCAATGATCTAAACAATGTCTGTGAAAGAGATTGGCGTGAAAGGAAAGGCGATTGGGAGTCAAGGAAATTAAAATATCAACAATGTCAATAACTTCATGGTACAGGAAAGTGTAGAGGGATTAAAGTTTCCACTTCAACAATACCGGTATGTATGAATGTAAAAGATTTTTATAATTATTGTCAAATAAAACTGATTAACCCATTCAGGAAACGTGTGTTAGCTGCCACGGGTATAAGTAAATGTACTTATCAAAAAATAGCTAAAGAGAGCAGAGATGGAATATATTCAAGCAACTTTTCATTTTCATCCCCGTCTAAAAAGCGGTAACGAAAATCACCTGTTGTGGATAAAGTGGCTGCAGGCCAAATTGAAGAAATGAAAGCAATCATATACGATTTTTATATTTTGGAGAAAAGAAGACCTTCGCTGAAAAGTTTTTAAATTGTAACCGTAGCATCTAGTCATATTTCATTTTAAGATTTTTTAGGTATTTACCAAAAAATGCAAGATCAACAACTCAATTTTGAGGATAAAATAACGACTTTGAACAAACTTTTGAAACAAATGGGCTTTAGGTCAGTATTCATACACACTATAAGGTTTTCGATTTACAACGCTATAAATATAATTTATATCTACAGATGTAAAAGAACTACTGATAATAAAAAAAGCTCTCATGGAAAAATATGAAATTCGCTTGAAGCGTATCGAATATCTGAAGCAAATTATGAAATATAGAGCTGATAACAGGAACATAATTTATACGGATGAAACATATATACATTCTAGTCATACCCCAAAGAAAGGATGGTCAGATGACAATTATGACAAGGAACTAAAAACGCCTTCATCAAAAGGACAACGAATGATTATTGTGCATGCTGGTGGAGAATTCGGCTTTATTCCTAACGCCTTGTTGATATTCAAATCAAGTATTATTTGTGTTACAATGATGTAAAATATTTCCAATATCTTTTTACATTTACTGGAATATATGTATGTATTTTATTTTCAGGCTCAAAATCTGGGGACTACCACAACGACATGAATCATTTGAACTTCATGAAATGGGTAGAAAGCCAATTGATCCCAAATTTGCCTGAAAATTCTGTGCTTGTAGTTGACAACGCTTCTTATCACAATGTCCTGGAAGAAAAAAATGTAACCTCTTCTAGCCTGAAATCAGAGATGATTGACTGGCTAGAAAAGCATCAAATTCCTAGTGAAAACTCATTGACTAAGGCCGAACTATATAAAAAAATACAGGAAAATAAAAGAAGATTTCCAGTCAAATACAAGCTAGATGCCTTAATGGAACAGCACGACTGCCTCCATATCATCCGGAGCTAAACCCAATCGAGAAGATTTGGGCTCTCGTAAAAAACTGGGTTGCTCCACGAAATGTGACATTTAGGTTGTCTGATGTGGAGCATCTGACCCGTAGCAGGTTTGAAGAAATTGGAGCAGATGAGTGGAAGAAAATTTGTAACCACGTGAAAAAATATGAGCAAGCACAAATGGAAAAAGAACATCTTTTCGACGATCAAATGGATAAGTATCAATTCACTGTGAACACAGGGTCATCATCAGAAGATAGTGACGAACGCGACTCAGATGAAGATTTGGAGCTAAACACACTATCATCTGATAGTGATTAGATTTTTTAATGATAATATATAATTTGAATTATAACCGTCTTTAGTTTGCTCCCTCTTCTAATTCAAATTTGCTTCCGAACAACTTAATGCGCATACTAAATGAATATAATAATACAAAAAAAATTAATGATCAATGTCTACACAACCTATTCACTTTATTTTATACTTCAAATAAAATAGGACGCCACTGCGCTCTGTCGACGACCTCGTGATGAGCGGACCCGCCCACGATAACGTAGCGGTCATATTCTTAGAGCGTTCGAACTCTACTACAGAGCATCAAGATGGGCGCTTCAGACAACTAGCCCTACGAGACCGTTTTGTTACTACGTGCCATATCGCTGACCAAAGGTTTGGAGAAGAAGGTAAACCTGTTACCATGTGTACACTCTATCGCGGCATTCGAGCATTTGGACTTTTTTCATACCGTCCACGGTTAGTGCTTCCTGTAACTGCGGACCACCGTCGTCAACGTTTGAACTGGAGCAGAGAACGGCAACATTGGCAGGCTGAATGGTGTAATGTCATCTTCAGCGACGAATCACGATTCTGTCTAGGTACGCACGATGGTCGTAGAAGGGTAAGACGACGCCGTGGAGAATGGCGTGATATTGGATTTGCCATGAACCATGAACAACGAAGCGGGAGGCCGTCGATCTCCGAGGAAGTTATGGAGAAGATTGAGCAAACCTTGCTCGAAGATTGGCGAGTCACGATCCGGAAACAGGCAGTTGAAGTTGCCGAGGCTTCTAAAGAAACTGGGACGGGCAGTCCAAAATTGTCGCAGAGGAAAATTTTCCAAAGCGTAAGACTGCACCACGACAATGAGCATCTCCAACAAACGAAGGACTGAATCAAGCGATTTGGCTGGGAAGTCGTTGCCCATCCCCCTTCCACCCCTGACATACAGTAGCGGACAAAAGTTTGGAAACCTTCTTAGTAATCTCTAAAAAGTGTGCTAATTTTCCATTCTTTATTATAAGGACCATTTTTTTTCATATAGTTTGCTTACACTCTTGAGGATACAAATGACAAATTTGCGTTTGCTGCAGTACTACAGGACATCTATTCTAGAGTTTGTGGGCGTAGAAATTGTGAGAGAAAGAGGCAAATAGTGAGTCTGGCCAAATAATGCAGTATTCTTGAAATCAATTATGCCGAAAAGTGATGAATTCACTTCAGGGAGTCGCGATTTCTCTTGGTACCGACGAAGAGAAACTGGAAAAATTAGTAGAAAATAGCGCTGTATAACCTGAAAATTGTCGTCTTTGGCCTTGTTATTGTCGTTCCTGTTAAACATATTTCAAAAAATGGGTAGTTTCAATCGAATTGATGCATTATAACGATATTATTAACGAGGATGTAGAGGAGGTAGTTGAGGAATGGGAGATTGGGAAAGATATTCTTGGGCACCTAAAGTATATTCAGATAAGAGATAGACCGGATGTAAACAAAAGGTTCGGGTGATTTTCACGCTAACGCCGCCGTATCGACGTAAAACAGGAGCCCTCATTGGTCAACTCGCAATTAAATGCCTATGCCGAGCGGCAGAGCAGTCGTATCAAGGCAGAGTCACATTCAGGTTCAGACGTGTTA